TGTTTGTAGAAGTACTAATGAATGCATTTATCCATATTACATTCTCCAACCTGTACTGGTTGCAGGTTACCTTGCTTACTTGCAAGGAATACCTTCACTAGTTTTAGGTCATTTAGCTGCTCCTTTCTATGCTCTTGAGGTATCTAATCACCAGAGCAACCACCTTCAGTAAGGCTCATTATTATGATAGCTGAAATTTCTTTTATTTCAACGTAGTAACCTAGATAAAGATATTCAATGAATGGGCAGGATATCACTGCATTGCAAGATAATCTTTTTGTGTTTCCATGTTGCACTCTCAGATGATGCTGTGTAGCCATGTCATACTCCTTCAACATTATGATCCAATGTGTTATCACACTATTCAGATTTTTCAGGTTGATGATCCTCTTCAATGATACACAATTCATCTTATGGGTGAACTTTCTGCTATACAGTTAATGTCTGCAAATTACAATGTCTTTACTGAGTACTCAAAGAATAAAATTAATTCTCTTAGTGTTACAGTGTTTATTTTTCCTGCACATAATGTCTGAAACCTCCTAAATAACTATTTTTTTTTTCGGTAAAACTTTATGCATCTATTCTAACACTAACAGCAGGCAAATCGTTAATGTGCAGTGAATGAAAAGTTAAGAATTATAAAATTAAATTAAAAATACTTTCTTTCTTTTTACAGAATGACTGCAAATTGTAATAGGTAATTACAGTTATTTATCTAAACAGATTCAGGCCTCTTAATCTTTGCTTTCATTTAATTTTTTTATTATTTGAATCATATCTAATTAACGTAATATAGCAACAAATCACTCAGCAAGAATTTAGAGTAAACAAACTAAAATGCATTCCTCCAAGAAATATCACCAGAATTTTTCATTTAATGTTTTTATTTTGAGTTTTTGTATCTAACCTAATAAGATTCTAATTTTTGCATTTTACTTTTCCTAAGAAATATATGACAATAAATGAAAGTATGCATACATTTGTTTATTTGTTTTGTTCATAAGCATAAAACTACAAAATGGGCTATGTGTGTTCTGCCCTCTGCAGATATTTGAACTTACCACTGATCTCCTTGGCGGCATATACACAACAAAAAACAAGACAAGAAATGTAACACTTAATTTTTCATTAAGGCCTTTTGCACTCGGGTGTGCCCGGCATGGCCAGGTGGTTAAGGCACTCGACTCGCAATCTGAGGGTCGCGGGTTCGAATCCCCGTCACACCAAACATGCTCGCCCTTTCAGCCGTGTGGGCGTTATAATGTGACTGTCAATCCTACTATTCGTTGGTAAAAGAGTAGCTCAAGATTTGGCGGTGGGTGGTGATGACTACCTGCCTTCCCTCTAGTCTTACACTGCTAAATTAGGGACGGCTAGCGCAGATAGCCCTCGTGTAGCTTTGCACGAAATTAAAACAAAGAAACAAGCACTCGGGTGTTTAGTTTAATAATTTAATAAGCTTATTCTTTCTCATTATGTTGGTTATCCAAAAGTAATTTATATAGCTTTCTGCATTTTAGCACATAAAAATGATGTTAGTCATTACAATATAATATTACAAAGCTATTTTAATTTGTTTGACTTTCTATAATAACCTCTAAATGGCTTTAAAAAATTCCATTACTGCTCAGAGCAATGTCTTTATCTAAACACATCCCACTCTCCTCGTAAATAATAAGCTAAAACCAAACAGACAAGCGACTGATTTATGCAGTTTAGAATATACTCTTTTTATTAGTTAAAAACGGCTCCAATAGCAATGTCAGGGAGAATTAAAGATGTATCCTTAAAGATCGAAAGTATGGGAGGAGGTGTCATGCATGTTGGAGAAAGGTAAGTGATATCTCAGAAAAGCAAGAATATAAGATATTGAAATTTTATATTTCCTATTATCAATATCTATAGTATGCATTTCCAATTTGTTGAACAATCTGAATCTCTTAAACTGGAATAGAAAAATATTTGAATTAAAGGTCGAAGCGCCACCACGTCACAAAACTCAGAGCTGTAGTTTCAGAAATTTTTGAAATATTAATTTTGGAAACTAAGAAAACAAAACTTAGATAATAAAGTAGTTCACTTAAATTTTAAATGCCAGTCTGTAAATAAATAGGTTTTGACATGACATTTCACCATTTCATTTTCATTGAGTTAAGCCTCAGCTCTATTAACTTCTCGAAAGTGTTTGGAGCTCTACTCTGGGTGAATAGCATGACTTCTAACTCATATAACATATCTCATGTGGTAAAAGTATATTTGATCCTGCTCTCATCATCTAGTAGGACTTGCCATCAGTGCTGCACCATTGGGCACGTTTGAATGAATCCAGACATTAAAATGTCTGTGGCAATAGAAAGGTATCTATTTATCTTTGGCAACTTGTCAAAGGAGATCTCAAACCTGATCGCCAGAGAAGCCCCTATCATTTGAGTATAAATATTTCATACTCCTAAGTGGTGTTTCATGGCCTTGCTTGAGATAGAGTTTCTCTGCAAATTGTGTAGATAATCTGTGAAGGCACCCAGCTTCTTAGAAGGATCCCTCTTTGAAGCCTTGAATCAGGGTTGAAAACTCCTAGTCAATTCTATTTTTGGTAGTTCAGAAGTTGAGGAAACAATAAGATAAAATATCTCAACCAGTAGAATCATGATCTAATCTTTTCTAGAAAGATCATCTAAACAAGATATAGCATAAAGCCAACTTTAACAATGTTAGTGATGAATGCACTTATTCTGATATTGAAATATTAGACTTGTCTCAAACTCTAACGAAAGTCCAGTCCACAGATATTTTATAGGACAGAGTACATAAAACTAGGTTATCCAGTTCTTTGATCATGTAGTCCTCTGACAGTGGATTTCTTGACACTTAATAAAGTTACCTCACTTAAATGTGAGTTTTTTCTTATTGTATGGTTGCAAAAATAAGCCATTGGTTCCAATGGAAAAGGGTTAAAACTGCAAGTCACTACTTTAGATCAGTAAATTAAATAAATCCAACTACTTTACAAAGCTTTTGACACATTCAGTATGATATACTAAAACGATTTTGGAGCCCCATCGTGTTGTTATTGAGCATGCTGCCACATGTAGTCATATTCAGTCTAACAACTTTGCTTTCTGACAATAGCCGTGTAGTGTAGTTTCAATTATAAAAGGTTCCATCGTAAGAAAGTCATGACTAAGTCACACTACTCCTCCATACTGTTTGCCATAATCCGTCAAGAGCATGATGATGATGGTTTCCCAGCATCTGTTACAATAGTCTGATCACATAAACATCCATAGCCACTTCTTATTTGGTGACTTCACCAGTATGTCTTTGTATGTAAGAAAATGCGTGAATACCCGTTTTATTCTTTAGCTGCTTGAAATATGTGACAGTTATACAGGAGGTTTGACTGGAAGCTTTATCTTCATTATGTTGTATATTGTTGCCTAGCGCATATGACAGTTTTTGCCACCCATCTTTATGTTCGTAGATTATCACCTATTACAAGAAGCCACACTTTGCTTAACATGATTTGGTATGACTTGTTACAGGTATTTGTCAATCGTGGTTGATTGCATACAGAACATATTGATACACTCACCTAAAAAAGAATTTAAAAAGGATAGTTTTGTTACTTCAAAGCATTGAGACCAATGATAAATTTATCTAATAACTTTCTGGGCTATCCAGATTGTTGTGGCTACATCCAACATTTTATTGTATTAATAATAACTGAGAAATGATTGCTAAAAACAAGTTTTTTTATGTTTTAGTTTAATAACAATGATATCAAGCAAATATCTATTTCTATTTTCAATATTCTTGCTGTGTTAACATCCCTATTAACTTATTATATTAACTTACAGTTTATTGGTATTTCCAATATTCTTGATTTAAAGAAAAGTTTGTTCTTTCTTTCATTGTTTTACTGAAATAACACCTTTGATAACATATTGCATTAATGAATAATGTTTTAGCTTTTCTAATGGCTTACTTTTTAACATTTATTACGATCATTGATGTTTTTCGTTGCTATGTTATTTTACTGCTGTTATGTCTAGAGAAATTCATAAACAGCATATTTCATTGTAATTTCTACTCTAACACTAATAATATTTTCAAACCCCAAATATGTTGATATATTCTCTGTAATTATGGTATATTATTCACTAGAATTTTAATATATTCATGTAGTTTCTGCATTGTCAGTACATGACCAAAGCCATGTCATAAATTTTAAAAACCTTATGACATTTCATGAATTAAATATAATTATTTCAACCCCAAAGCTAAGCAATTTGTTTACATAAAAAATATAATAGAGATGCTGTCAGTTTGTTAGTATGATGTGTCGCAAAATTTGCTTATTCACGTCGTCCATACACGTTCTTGTCTAAATATTTATTTTATTTACTACAACAACGCCCTCTGTGATATTCTCAGGTGAACTGATTTATTTGCAAGTATCAGATAGATCTGCTTAGTAACGAGAGGATCTAGCAGAAAACTTCGAAAATAAATTGAATTTGAAAACTTAAATGAAACGATAAACGAAAGGAAATGACATCTAGCTAGTCAATACCACTCACTGATAACTCTTGGTCTACACTTTTACCAACGAATAGTGTGATTAAACATAACATTATAACACCCGTATGGCTAAAAGAGCGAGCATGCTCAGTGACAGTATTCTAACCTGCGACCCCGCAAATTCCAAGTCGGTGAGGTGAGGCATAACCATTAGGCCATAAGATGCCTGGACGGAGAAGAAAAATATATTATTTTTCAAACGATTTGTAATTGGTCTCGGAATCAAGCTACGAATAATTTAATGATACTTAGTATTTAATATTTTAGCATAGAGAATGACAGAGATTCACCTAAAATTAATATAAATTATTTGATTTATTTTCAAATCTTTCTAACCACGTTCGAATTTACAGAAATTACAATAAATACCAGGAAATTATTCGTATAACCAATGTCAGTTACATCGTAATTCCGTGAGAGGACGTCCCATTCCTACATTGTTAACATTGTGGGAAAGAATCATATAAACCTGAAGCTCCCAGGATAGTAATAGGTTGCTATTGTTATCGCTATCAGGCAGAGGAAGAACGTACCTAACATTGTGATTGATTCACTGAGAGCAAGGTAATTAAGTTTTGTTGTATGTTAGTATCCTAGCGATAAAAATAGAACTCCAGACTCAGTTTGTAAGATTAAAGTTGCATATTGACAGTGGTGAGTCTTATCTTATGATCTTTTCCTACGGAACTTGAAACTAACTTTCGGAGGAAAGCTGGGCATGGCCTAATGTAATTACAATTACTGAATTAGTATTACTATTATGATTATGATGTAGCATTGCATTTGTAGAATGTCATAGATCAGTTTGGCAAATGGCCTTAAGTTTACTTATATTAAGTGCAATGTAAATTGTATTTGTAACGCATGTGGGGTTATTATTTGGGTTCTGCGTTTCATATATTATAGATGGGGACTCGCTCAGTTATGTCAATAGAGTTGCGAGATGCTACATGTTAACTTTAAAAAATTATTATTATGTTAATATTTACGTACGTTTTCCTTGTCTTTTAGTTGAGCTTTCTCTTGATTGAATATAATATTAGTAAAATTATGTTCATGATAAATATAAATGAGTGACATTGAATAGCACTGAATTTTATACAGCAATAGCTATACTATAGTACATGGTCACATGTAAGTTAGTTGATTAGTTTTGCCAGTAGGCAATAATCATTCTCTTTTGAATTGCAATCTTATAACTTGGTAGCAAATACTAATGTAAATAAAATGAGAACTGGAGACTGATATACCAGATGCTAAAGAACATAGAAAATATATTGGATATTTTTTGGAACTTTGTTAGAAGTGTTGTGATTTATAATTGGTTGATCAGAGAGTTTGTAAATGTTGTATTATCAAACAGATTTCCATAATTAATTTTTAGAGTTGAATTTTTTCTTTTGGGTTCTTTTTCCAAATCTTTTGTGTGAAAGTTATGTATTACGATTAGAAGTTTTGGAATTGTGTGAAAATTGTTTTGCTGAGTTAGTTGAGTTGCTAGTAAAAGTTCAGGCCCAGTATTTTTGATTTGTTATCATATTCTGTTTTACTAGTAAAAACTAAAATAAATTCTCAAATTTGTTTTGAAAAATGCTTGTATTAACATTTCAGTTATTATTAGTGTTGAATAAAGAATCTGTTAACATAAGACTTTCATTACAGAAAAATAATCTAGCAATTGTGGTGGATAAGACATTTAAATTTTAAGCCATCCAGGCACTGCTCTGTTGCTTGTAGTAAAACTAACAGAATTTTAGAGTGTATTATCAGACATTGATTATAACTTAAGTCGAAAGCACAAATTAACTCTTTACAAGTAATGTGTTAAGCCTCATTTCAAATACTGTGTAGTTTGGGTCTGATCTAGAAAAGGATATTGACTTAATGGAATGATTCGTAGGAGGATTACCAAGATGAGTCTGGGGATGGAAGTGTTATCATACAGGGATAGGTTAAGATCTCATAACTTGTTTTTCTTTGGAAAAGGAGGTTAAGAGGTGATCTTATTGAAGTTCAGAAAAGTATCTAGAGGATCAGTCAGATAAAGGCCTCTGAAGGCAGTAAGTCAAGAAACACAGTATATAATTTAGGAAGAAAAAAAAAGGCTTGTCAGTAATGGAGTTTGGTAGCTTATAAGAACTTAAGTTGGGAAGTGACAATTTCTTGAAAAATATAGGGTGGTTTTGATTTTCTTTTAAAGTTGATGTGTAGGGACAGGACTTATTGGTTCCTTCTTTTGTGTCTTTTAGACAGAATTGCATTTACTAAACTAGTATGAAATTTAATGAGGAAAACTTCAAAATAGTTTTCCTAAATCTTACACAATTATTCCTCAAAGATGGGTCATCAAATTGAGACTTGGTTAGTCTAGTCAGGTTAAAGTATTCACTCTCAGTTAGCCTGTGAAATGTATTAATGTCTGTTCCACCTGATATTTTTACTGCTGCGCTCGTGTTCTTCAAAATATTTACCACATGTATTGTTAAAGCTGTTATGGTCTTTCATTCTTAAGTGTACTATACATCCTGGCATGAGTTTGGTACATCTCGTGTCAGTCGTCGAACATCGGGTTTATTGAGCGGCAGCTTCAGACTGCCCTCAATCGTTGTTGACATGGACCACTGCAAACGGTTTTAAATTTTCTTTTTCCAAAACCATTTGCATGCATTTTTGCCGCCAACGGGGTCTCCACCCCGATCCCGAGCTCTGCCTCAGTGATATAGTTATTTGTGTGGTCCCTGAGGCGAAGTTCTTGGGGCTTATCTTTGACTGTAAGCTTAGCTTCATTCCACACATCAAGCAGCTGCGTGTCAAGTGTGCAAGGGCTCTGAACATCCTCCGTGTCTTCTCTTCTATCTCTTGGGGAGAGGATTGATGTTCTATGCTCAGGATCTGTCATGCCCTGATTCGATCCAAACTGGACTATGGGTCTTTGGTCTATGGTTCTGCCAGGACCTTGGCCCTGAAGATGCTGGACCCCATTCACCATTTGGGGCTTCGGCTTTGCACCGGTGCTTTTCGCACTTCTCCAGTCCAGAGTTTGTACACTGAGTCCCATGAACCTTCTCTTCACCTCTGTCATTTGCAACTTTCTTTACAATATGCTACTAAGCTTCGATCCTTACCACGGCATCCCACCTGGGATTATGTCTTTCTTCCTCGGTGGGCAATGCTCTTTCAGAACAGACGGTCTGCTATTCCTCTGTTTGGCCTTTGTATCCGGGTGCTATTGGCAGAATTGGGTCTGGCATTGGATGACATTGCTGTCCCCAATGATCAGCCCATTCCACCATGGCTTATTACCATCCCTTCCTGTGACTTTTCCTTGAGTCATCTGAGGAAGGTGGATACTCCCAATTGGAAGTACCGTCTTCTTTTTGCTGAACATCTGTCGAGCCATTCTTCTCTTCCTATTTACACAGATGGTTCGAAATCGGGTGACTCTGTAGGTTCTGCCATGGTGTGCTGTGGCTCGGTAGTTGCTCACAGGATCCCCTCTACAGTTTCTGTGTTCACTGCCGAGTTGTATGCTATTTCTCTTGCCCTGGATCATGTGGAAGCTATGCAATACAGTAATTGTACTATTTACACTGATTGTCTTAGCTCTCTACTGGCCCTGGAATCGCTTAATGTTAGTTCTCACTCTGTTCTCGACGATATTCAACCCCGAATGGTCCACCTTTCTCTATCTTCTATTTCCATCCAGTTTTTCTGGATCCCTGGCCACGTCGGTATTCACGGGAACAAGTTCGCTGACACCACAGCTATGTCCGTCTGCTCTGGTGCCATCACGGCCGTGCCTGTCCCATACATGGACTACGGTCCTGTCTTCAAGGCGCGGCTTCGTGCCAGTTGGCAGTCGACTTGGAGTGAGCAACGCCATAATAAGCTTTTCCAGATCAAACCTTCTGTTGGTCCTTGGCCGTCTTGCTTCCGTAAGGATCGGAAGGAGGAAGTAGTCCTGGCAAGGCTACGCATTGGTCATAGTTTTTTAACCCATCGTTTTCTTTTATCAGGTATTGACCCACCGATGTGTAGCCATTGTGACATTTCAAGTCACAAAAGCCCACATTTTACTGTCGTGCCGTCGTTATGACCGTGAGCGGCGGCATCATTTTAGACACATTTTATCTAAAAGTTTACCCCTGACGATGGACAGTGCCATTGGTAATGGTGACACTGTCCGATTAAATTGTATTTTTAATTTTTACACACTATAGGCCTTTTTAATTATATATAAATCTTTTATCGACATGTATTGGTTTTAACACACTGTATTTTTACATTTTACTTTAATTTACTTTCATTGTTTTTACCGGTTGTTTGGCGCAGATAGCATTGCTGCTTTACGCCATAAAACACCAACCAACCAACAGATAGTAGCTTCTACATACATATATATGGATGTAAGATTTTCTTTTTCATAGGCTTAGAATACATGCAAAGGTTGAATACATATTGCTTGATCTGAAAAAATAATACTCTGAAAAGGTAATAATTACTAACCACCAGTTTGGATCAGACAATAGTTTTTCTTCAATTTTTGAATCTTAGAATGTTCTTTGATTATTTGAAAATGTTAATATCTCGTTATTAAGCCTTTATCCTAACACAAACGTATTTTTCACTACATAATAAACTACAGAGTCTGTCATTACTCAAGTTATAAGCATGAATGTTGGACTATTTTTGTTTTAGATCATGTTTTAAATAAGGATCATGTGTTTTACACCAAATTTTACTCAGTCAAATCACTTACTTATTTGTATACCATTAATTATTGGTAGAGTATACATACTGCATCATATTGAATAAGTTTGTCTTTGCCTGTTACAACATGCACTGCAAGAAACAAACAAATAATTGAGACCACTAATTTTCTAAATGCAATACATAGGCGAACTCAGCAGGAATTAATGGGTTTAATTGCAGTACTAGTAGTATTTTTGTTTTCATTGGTTTGTGTGATTAAAACGTTATTAGGGGCCTGTGTGCTGTTTTCCAGCACACGAATTTCCAGTAAAGTAGTCAGTTGGGACCATCTAACTGGAGTTTTTGAAAGGTGCCGAGTTACTGAGTGCATTTATGCTTCACTCTGAACTCTGATTTCACCGAGAAGGAAGTGTCAAAACACGGGAGGTTCACAATAACAATTTTTAATAACAAACCATTATCAAAGTTAGAAACGTAAGACAAAACGAAGGCAAGTGTTCATGGTGAGTGTTGTTGAACTGGTAAGAGATATGAGAAACCTTTAATAGATTTATCTTGAGAGTCTTCTGTAAGCTACACAAAAAAGAAAGTTAAATGTAAAATAACTCAATGTTAAATTGAAAGTAAGCTAAACTGAATACAAACTATAAGTCGTATAATGCCTTAGCAAAACCTAAGGTCTATCGAAAGTTACTCTTACAGGGGCAAATCTGGCCTTAAATACGAAACACAATAACATATATAAAACCATGTTTGTACACGACCGCATCTTGCACATATGACCTTTGTCCATTATAATTCAAATGCAAGAGCATGGTGGCAGCTCTAGCTCTAAATTCGTTTGCCAACAC